CTGATCATATTCTGCTGTAACTTTAAAGAGGACGGATTCTTCTCACTATTGCAGCATTTCATTGTCATAGTTTGATCTCTAAACTAGTGCATTTGATGGGGAAAACATCAGTGAGAGACATGATTTTACACCTAGTCTGACAGTGCATGATTCATGTCCTGTAATAGAAAATTTACTGGTCAACCATTCAAACAGTATTTCTCGAAAACGCAAGCTCCGAAGGAGCTGCAAACTTCAGTGCAAGTAGAGCTATATGAGAGGATTCTCCAGCATTAATCTTTAACGAACCACTCTTGTAACGAGACACCTACGGTGCTTGGACTCGCCGCAGTTACTCTTGAATTTATGCACTATTAAAAGCAATGAATCATGGGCTTCATCTCTATTATGCAGCATGACAGAGATAAAATGACCATGATTCATTGCTTTCAGTTAATACTGCATTTTAGGGACAGGTATCTAATAGAAGACTTCCTGCTCGCAAGTAGTGGCAGTTCTCTGGCTGCTAACGTTCACAAAATGAATACACTCAAATTTATCTCTTCTTTACAAATCTTCTGAGCAGCTCTCAACTGAGCATGCGCAGAACTATAATTACAATAATAATAATAATGAATAATAATACATTAATCAATCACATAATAAATCCCAACATCCTCCCCCCAGCTGTTGACCATAGTCAACAGTAAATCAAACTCTTACAATTATAATAACAATACATTATGCATAAGTAACACATACATCACTAATAATCACCAATAATAATAATTGTTATCAGTTAATCCTCACAAAGTCGAGCAAAAATCTTGTCTCGTGCCTCTAGGGCAGCTGATCTCTTGGGACGAGTTGAAATTCCAGACTTGGGTTCGGCAGTAGTGTTATGAGATTCGAATTCATGCTCAGATATATCCTCCCTATGATCACTAGAATCATCAATTATCTCTTCTTGATCATTAGTAGTACTTCCTGGAGGCTTAATTTCTTCCTGATTCTGATTAACTTCAAGTGGGAAGAGCTTCTGTACAGGCCGTCTTAGTACCAATGAACGACCACGCAATACTGTGTCAACAACAGCTCCTCTAGTTTGTCCATCCAGTCCAGTAATAAGCTCTCTTATTTTCCCCAGTCTCCAAAATCCTCTGACGGCTTGATCATCATGAACGATGACTATATCTCCAGTTTGAATCTCACGCTAATCAGCTCTTCTTTGAGTCTTATACTGATATCTCTCTCTCAAATTGAGTAAATATTCTGACTTCCACCTCTTCCAGAATTTATCCAGTGTTAGCTGCAGGTGTCGCATCCTTCTATTTAGAAGAACTGGTGACAATGTAGTAGTAAACTCTTCTTCGATCTGGTGAAAGCACAGCTCATCAGGTAGATTGTACAATCTTCTACCACTTAGAAGATGAAAAGGTGTCAGGGGCTCTTCTACATCATCTGGAGATACATAAAAGGGGCGGGAGTTCAAAATAGCTTCAATCTCTGTAATAGCAGTCAATAATTCATCATATCTGAATTGAGCTCTTCCAATTGCTTTCCTGAGACACCTCTTAGTTAATCCAATTAGTCTTTCAAATAGTCCTCCCCACCAGGGAGCCTTCTCTAGATTGTGATACCACTCTATGCCAATTCCAGCAAGATGCTTTGACACCACAGGGCTAGTTGTGACGTTCTCTATGACCTTAGCAGCTGCCTTAAAGGTAGAACCATTGTCTGAAATCATTCTACGAGGTAGTCCTCTTCTTGAAGTGAATCGCTTGAATGACCTAAGAAAAGAATGACAAGAGAGATTAGTTACTAGATCAATATGTACAGCTCTAGTTACACAGCATGTGTAAAGACAGATCCACACCTTTTGATCACAGTGAGCTTGCAATGGGTGGTCCGGTCTAACAAATACTGGCCCAGCATAATCTACGCCAGTATAGGTAAATGGAGGTTGCTCATTCACCCGAAAGGAGGGCAATGGTGGAGGAGGAGGGGCTCGATAAGGCAAACCCTCGAATCTCTTACAGATAACACATGAGTGCAAAACCTTCTTCACCATTGCTCTGCCTTTGACCACCCAGTATTTGCTTCTCACTTCTGTTAGGGTTTCCTTGACCCCACTGTAAAGCACTCTTTTATGTGCTCTTCTAATTATTAATAAGGTGTAATGGTGGGATCGTGGTAGGATAATGGGATGTCTGGTGGAGTATGGCATTTCTGCCTTAGCTAGTCTTCCACCATATCTCCAAATGCCTGCATCATCACAAAATAAGTCAAGTTTAGATTGAAGGCTACTGAAATCTCCCCTTGTCACTAGCTCCCTTTGTACATCTCTTAACCAGAGAAATTCAGCTTTGCTTAAATAAGAGGGACCGACATGACAAGGGGGTCCAATCCTTCTCTTCAATCTATCAATAATCATCAATACATGTGCCATAACACTCAATAATTTATTAAGATCACTATAATCTGTGATCTGTATTATTAGAGATATTCCAAAATCTTCCATTACAACCAACTCTACAGACTGTAGGTTAGATTTCAACTCAACCATGCACTCACTAGGCATGTCAATCAAATCTAATTTCTTAATATCAACATCCTCTTTTAACCAAGTGGGTCCATGCCACCATATTTCATTCTTAGCCAGTTCTGATGGCATCACTCCTCTTGAGGGAAGATCTGCCGGGTTCTTCTCACCAGAACAATGGTGCCAACATTCTATTGGCACTAAGTTTCTAATCTCCCAGACCCTATTGTGTACAAATGGCTTCCACTCCTTTGTGATCCCCTTTATCCAAAACAGAGCTATCTGTGAATCTGAGTAGCAAGTAGTTGGACCCAGAGCAAGCTCAAGACTAAGGCTGGTAGCAACCGTAGTAACCAGTCTTGCTAGGAGTAAAGCTCCCAAGAGTTCTAGTCTTGGAATAGTCTGAGATTGAAGAGGTGCTACTCTAGTTTTACATGCATAGGCGGCTGCAGGGTCGGGCATTTAGGGGCAATGCCCGACCAAAAATTCTGACCGGAAGTGTGACATCACCATAATTAATAGTTATTCTATGGCTAATTAATAGTTAATAACAGTTATTGCAATTATAATTTCAATTTTTTATGAAAATTTTATAATTATGAATGCATAAATGGCAGGCTGATATCAAGGTGATGAAGAGAGACTAAATAAAGGAGGAGGTGGTAAGACTTTGGTGCCAATCACAGTGGGCCACCACAGCAACACTAGAAAGCATAATCATTTCATTATTTAGTGCTATTTCAGTGTTCTTTTCTTGTCAGTTGCAATGTCTAAAAGCCTGGACTAGCCGGCTTCACTATGTCCTTTGTGAACAAGCCTGCTAAAAAGGAACCGGCAACAGTTTACAAAGTGAACCTAGTAAGTACAGTATAGAAGTCAATAATACAGATTATCTCATGATTC